TTACCGAGCGTCACGCAATCGCTTTTCTGCGATCCGCCTTCACGATTATTTGCATTATTGTGAGATATTCCTGGCCCATTTCTTGATGAAAATCGATCGTAATATTATTTCAAGCCTTCAATATAGTCTTCTTACTTTGCGCGCGAGTTGGTTGGTGTGATGTCTGTACAGATTTTACCAACGTAATAAAAGTAGATGACGTGAATAACAGTGATGGTAGAGCAAGCTTAAAACGGCAGAAATCGCCAGAAAATACAACGGATACACAGGGTATGAGTAAGTTTTATTGATTTTACGAGAAAAATGTTCATATTTCGAAATATGTATCGTTGTAAATCGACCATACTTCGTTCCCTATACTATTCCTTATAACGTGCAGTTCCTCTCGTAACTTAACACCGAGTCACACAATGCGTGACGCGTTCATGAATTAATAGCTGGCTTTTTCTCGAGACGTGACCTTGGGCTGCCCGTGACAAGACAGTTGCGTAAACAATATTTAACATAATAACATTATACACAAAAAAACGCAGGGTTTTGGATCACGTATTTATTAAAAAAGAATATCCATACAACTACAATGAAAACAAACATAAGATCCACCTTTCTGATCGTGAAATTAATACCATTCGTACTGTTATCGTAGCCACGTTCCTTGCCATCAAGTGAATCCAACATGTCGTCTTTCTTCACAAGCAGTTTGCACTCATTATAGTTATGTTCTTCAGTCTCACGGTAGTAGTGTTGTTCGATAGATTGCATAGAGTATATGCAGTTTGGTTTCAGATTTCAGATTTTGCTTTTTACAACAAGTGAACGTTTTTCAACTAAGACATTGGCATACTCGGCATACAAGGCATTCAAGGCTTTCATGGCTTTCAAGCGTTCGCGACTCAATCTGTTCCAAAATTACCGCTCAATAACATCTTTCAGTGTGGATTAGCCGCGATTAATACGACTGATATATGCGTCTGTAAGTATTTTGCGCGTTTGCGCCATAATGCTCCAGGGGATCGCAATCCAAATACGTTGAAATACAAAATAAATGACCAAAGAGTTTTATAAGCAAAATCTCGTGATTCGTCATGTGACCTGGCCCTGTCTGTGCATGACAACGTCAATCATCATCAAGATAACATGCGTGATCAGCATGTGAACACCTCATTGGATCACAGTTAGTTGTCATGGTGTTGAGGGCCCAATGACCTCTGGGTACTATTGCGCAAATTTTTCCATTTTGTGGCGGAGAAAAAAAAAAAAAATCAAAAAACAAAGGCATTTTATGACTGGGCTACCACAGGTATCCCTGTAAAAAGACGAGAGACAAAATGCAAACAGTCGCGCAGTTGTTGAAAATCTCAGTCAGGATTTTTCGTGGAGCGGAAAGAGATTGACATGTTGCAAAATCTGGAACATGGAAAAAGTCCAGTTACAGATACTTATGGGTCCATAACTTGTATTTTACTTTTCATCAATCGCATGCTTCAGACTTTCGATATTGAAGATTTTTAGCGGAAGGTAATGCAAAAACGATCCAATTTATCTGACGAGATACGTTTTTAATTTTGGTAACGTGACATAGTTTATTATGGCCGAGGCTCGAACCAGTCAAAGGGAATGTAGATTAAACAAACTTCAGCAACTTTGATGCCCACCGGGGTCAAAGAACCGAAGTTAAGGGGGTTTAAAGTCTTCCTTAGGAACAGACTTGTAGTTTGGTGCCATGTTCCTTAACTGCACATGAAGTACGGCGTGAATGTGTTGAAGCTTTTTTTTCCGTCATCACTAACATTGAATGTGTAAGATGCAAAGTTGTTGGTGACACCTGTTATTCCTTCCTTGTTAAAATCCTTTTTCGTCTTAGTCTTTGTTTATTATCTGTTTAAGAATTTGAAGTTATTTCCAAAACTCGAGCTCGTATTTCATTTGGGTATCCGAAGACCTCGCAAAAACAGAAGTACTCGGCTTATGGTGCCTTGCTTACATTTATTTCTTGGTGTTTGGATGCCATGATGAAACACTCGCCCTCGTTTTGGAAAGAGTACTTCCACAGTACCAAGAGAGAAATATATATATATATATATATTTATTAAATCGTCATGTTATTGTTTTGTTTTGTTTTTTTCCCTGCAGACTTTCTGACTGACGTTTTCGGAATAAGATTATCAACACTCTAAAAAATCAAAAGTGTGGAAGCCACATCATTTCAACAATTCAAGCTACAGATATTGTTGCAATGAATCCAATCCAACGGAGTTTCGTCTTAGCCGTAATAGTTATAATACCATACATTGGCTTGGGGATTTGGCTCTCATCCAGTCTTCGGACTGATTCTATAAGACATTTCCACAAGCCTTCGAACCCAGCTAGTGAGAAGAAGCACTACTCCACTAAGGAGTTAAGGCTGTTAGCAAAAGAACTCTCCGAGACACAGCGCAGCTTACAACATTCACAATTACTTTTTTACCGTTTAGAAAAACATATTCAACTTGTAAAGGAGTTAATAATATCCATCGATGGGAATTTAACTGATGATCTGAAAAAAGATAATTCAGTGGACAGGTCTTCCGTAAATTCTTTGCCAAAGAGAGAGGTTTGCGCTGAAAAATTCATGGCACCGAGTTGGGAGTACGTGTTTCCTCGGTTTAGGAAAGGTTTCGACCGAGTAAATTGTTCAGACTTTGTTCCACTGGACCAGCTTGTGACCATGATTGTTACATCACCTGAAGAGATCTCGACCGAAAACTTACAAAACATTTTTAAAGGCATCGTAAACTATTATCCAAGCGTACCAGTAATGTTTGTGTCCAAGTCGAAGACAAATTTAAACTTAACAGAATTCGGGTCAAACATAACCAACGTGGTATTCGATGACCTAACTCACGGAAAAACATGGTCGATGTTACTCAAAACAGTATCCACGCCCTATGTACTATTTGCACCGGATATTACATACTTCACTGATGATGTAAATGTTGAGCGACTCATTCGGGTGCTCAGCGAGAACAAAGATACAATCATTGCAGGAGGAAGTCACAAAAATCAACGTGGCGAATGGGACAAGGGCTGTTTTCAAGTGAATTTCAGAAACTGGGTTGCTTTTTTTCTGGATGGTTATTATCGTTCGTTTACCGATTGTTTAGTGTGTGACGTGCTTCCAGGTCCATTTATGGCGAAGACGAAAGAACTTAAGGAACTTGGATTTGATGAAAAGTGAGTCTGGACGTTTATATTTAACGAGAGAACACCAACTGATATTCTTATATATCTAAGTAGGATTCGATTCTTATCAACTGAAAAAGCTTTTGACCTCTTCTATTGCATTCTCTTTCCTAGACTACCTTTTGGTGCCTTTCTTGATATTTTCTGGCGAATAAAACTGAAACATCCAGAG